CTTTCTGTAGTATCAAAAAAGTGGAAAAAAAGTAAATGCCAATCAATTCTCTTTTCGTGTATTCTGTATACATATGCATATATAAAAGACATTTATATATAATGTGTACTTTTTAATAGAAGCTGCTATGGGAACTACTTGCAAAAAAAAAAGTCCAAGGATCAAGTATCTCTCTTCCAGCAAAAATGGAGAACAAGGAGAATTTGAAGTGACTTTGATGTACTATCTAAGAGTTGCACTTCTGCAATAGCCAAAACTCCTTTTATCTAAGTAGAAAATGCACTGCAGGGGGTAGGGAGCAAGGGAGGAGTCACTGATATAACAGGTGCAAGCCTAGGAGCTTCCAGGGACAAAGATGACGGATGCCTGCGGTATCACAATTGGGAGAAAAGATTAGGGAACTCTTGGCAAATGGTCCCAAGTTTTTTTGAGTAAAAACCTTCAAGTGAGAGAGGGTGGTGAGTGGATGTCATGGGAAGCTTGAGAAGAAAGGAGAAGCTTTGGAATGGCTACTGTAGAGATCGGGATAGTGAATTTATTAGACAGGGAATAATATGTTTTGATGCAGTGAGGATCCAGTTGAAATTAGGTAAGATAAGTTTATAACGAGCCTAGTTAGAATAAATCTTTGAACTTCCTTCTGCTCTGTTCAGCTCAATGCAAAAGGAAGAAGTAGCAGGCAGGAGTAATCTAGGCTTGGCATCTGGTAAAGTGTGATTAGTGATAGGACAAGGGGACAAGTGATGTGAGCATAGAAAATAATACAGAGTTGACTTAGTTCACTAAGGGAGTTGAGAAAAGAGGAAAGTGTAGGCAGTGCTGGGATGAAGGCATGGGAAAGAAAAGGAAGGAAGAGAAATCAGAATGAAGACAAAGAACAGGTTTAGTGGTTTTAAGGCATAGGGTTATGCTGAGGTAAAGGGTTATGATGAGATAAACGAGTTCAGAGTTCTTGAACAAGGAAGTGGAAGGCTGCTGGGTGATTACAGAGTCGAGGATGTCACCATTTCTGTATGCTGAAATGGAGCAGGAGATCAGGTCATGGGCAATGAATGGATTGAGGAATTGGGGCAGTTAGGAAACTTGAAAGTGTATCAATATGTATGTCAAATCCTCCTATTATGGGAGTAGGGAAGAAATACTTTAATCCATGCAATGAAATAATTTTAGGAAGGAAGGAGAATATCTGGGGAGTTGGCAAAAATACCCTCAAAGGTCATTTTATGTGACAAATTGGAGTTTGAACCTCATTGGAGGAGAGGTTGCTCAGTGAAGATTGTACAGAGAGAGTCTGGAAGTAACAATGGTGGGAGAGGAATATTCCATGACTCTTCAACATGACCCATAATGAGTCAGGGTATGAATGTAACTAGCGCTAGAAAGGGTGGTGATGGTAACTGTGGAAGCTACAGTGCCAGCAGGGAGCCGTGTCCCAATGAGGACGGAGTGAGATGGAAGGAGTGAGTAAACAATATGGAGGATAAGAAGGAATTGTTAATTATGGGGCAGGCATGCCAAAGGGCATATTAGAAGGAGAAGAGAGACATTGTCCTGGAGTGAGACAACAGGGAACAAGGGGTGAGGTCGATAGGGGTAAAGAAGAAGAAACTTAATGATGGTGAGTGGTTTAAACCTCAGGCGCAAAAGGCTGCAGAGTCACTGGGATGGGACCTGTTAAGGGAATGGAAATATGCTAACCATTAGCTCTGGGTTTAGGCTGAGTATCTGTGATTGAAAAAGATTACTTACAGGAGGAACTAGATTAGAGAATTCTAGGTTGTTCCTTGAGAGTGAGCCTCCTAGTAGACAGAGATGCTGTGTCCTGTGAGACCCCAGGAGTCACAACTCACAACAGGTAGTACCAGGAAGCAATATGGAAGCCTGGTCAGGAGGCAAGGAAGGCTTGCTTGTCCTAGAGAAGGCCCTAGGGTGCAGAAAATGGAAGAGGTCTTGTCCAAGGAGTTGAACATGACTCAATGACAACTGAACAACTCCCTACACACTCACTTTTCCTCCCTTGTTTATCTCATCATAACCCTTTATCTCAGCATAACCCTATACCTTAAGACCTCTAAACCTGTTCTTTGTCTTCATTCTGATTTCTATTCCTTCCTTTTCCTTCCCATGCCCTTGTGTATATTTATACCAAACTATTTGTGTATTTAACCATCCTTTACCTGTTTCAGGTAAAAGTGAGCTTCCTGTGAAGCCTGCCTCCCCACCCATTCCTCCAAATTTGTTTCCTCTGCTCATGCACCCCAGTTATAGGAAATAGCAACTTCTACCTCTTTCTTCCTTATTTCTATAACAGTGTAAGGCTTTTATCCTCTTTTTTCTTTCTGTACTTAAAACCTGCGGAATAGAACCACCCCTACATCCTCTGTTTTTTTTTTTAAATTAATTAATTTATTTTTAGTTTTCAAAATTCATTTCCATAAGATTTTGAGTTCTAAATTTTCTCCCCCTCCATTTCTTCCCCCCTCCCCAAGTTGGTGGGCAATTTGATAGAGGATCTACATATACATTCATATTAAATATGTTTTCACATTAGCCATGTTGTAAAGAAGAATGAAAACCAATGGGAAGAACCACAAGAAAGAAGAAATAAAGTGAAAAAAGAGAGCAAATAGTATACTTTGGTCCGCATTCAGACTACATAGTTTTTTCTCTTGATGTGGATAGCATTTTCCATCATGAGTCCTTTGGAATTGTCTTACATCCTTGCATTGCTGAGAAGAGCTAAGTCTATCAAAGTTAGTCATCACACAATGTGGCTGTTAAAATGTTCTTGTATTTCTGCTCACTTCACTCAGCATCAGTACATGTAAGTCTTTCCACATTTTTCTGAAGTCTGCCTGCTCATTATTTCTTATGGAAAAATAGTATTCCATTACATTCATATACCACAACTTGTTCAGCCATTCCCCAATTGATGGGCATTGTCTCAATTTCCAATTCTTGGTCACCACAAAAGGAGCTGCTTTAAATATTTTTTGAGGGTCCTTTTCCCATTTTTATGATCTCTTTGGGATACAGCCCTAAAAGTGCTGTTGCTGAGTCAAAGGGTATGCACATTTTTATAGCCCTTTGGGCACAGTTCCATGGGGTTTCTTTCAGGAGGTGATCAGCGGATTCTTCACTTTGCCCTCTGGTTCTAATAGATTTGTGTAATTTTCACCCATGATTTCTCGAAATATAATGTTTATACTTTTCTTTTTCCAAAACAAAGGCATGATTTTCAAGGAGTCCTATGATTTTTAAACTATGTCTCCACAACTGGTGGAACCTCACCAGTTTTAAAAAACTAGGAAAAAATTTTTACACTAATTTTCTTTGGTAAAGGCCTCATTCTCAAATATGTAGGGAACTGAGTGAAATTTATAAGAATAACAGCCATTCCCTAAATGATAAATGATCAAAGGATATGAACAGTCAGTTTTCAGAAGAAGAAATTAAAGCTATCAATATTCATATAAAATGCTCTAAATCACTATTGATTAGAAACATGCAAATCAAAAGAACTTTGAGGTATCACTGCTTGCCTATCAGATTGGTTAACCCCAAAATAAAGAAAAATGACAAATGCTGGATTGTGTATGGAAAAATAGGTATATTAATGTGCTGTTGGTGGAATTATGAATTGATCCCACCATTCTGGAGAACTATTTGAAACTCTGCCCCAAGGACTATAAAACTGTGCATTTTCTTTCATCCACTGCTCGGTCTAGACCAGAAAGAGATAAAAAAGGCGGGAGAAGACTTACAGACATAATAATATTTATAGCAGCTCTTTTCTCAGTGGCTATTTATGATCTGCTTCCACTACCATTTGTTATTCTTTGGGTTTTCTGCAATAACTTGGTCTGTGGTTGGGTTATTTGGGAACAGTAAACATCAAGAATTATCAATATTGCCCTAAGAACTTTTTACTTCTGCTACCTTATTATCTCAAATCCTATAGTATAAGAAATAAGTAGATGCTTTGAAGAAGCTGGTGGACATAAAAATCTCAAGGCATTTTGTACAGAGGTGATATTGAGGCTTTCTGCTCTCTGGTAAAACCCCACATTGTGTGGAAATGCCAACTCTTTCCTTGGCCACAACGGTTCATCTGCCCAGAAAACCACTTGAAAGGGAGGGCTGCTGGCTTCCCACAGGTTCTCCCTGAGACTGTGCTACATCTGGTCAGTCAGATTTATAATTCAGATCAATCCTTAGTAATCAAAATGTTAGTGTTCTTCCATAAATTCTAGGAAAGGATTGTTGATTAAAACTACTACCATTTAATATAATTAACAGATTTGTCATAATGGACCTCCACAAAACATGCAATGTGCTCTTTTCCCCCCAGAGAGCATATTGAATGTGTAGTGTGTCAGTGTGATAAAGTTTCAACTCGATCAACCAGTCTTCATTTATTAAGCAAACTACAATGGGCCAGGCTTCCTAGGGTCTAGGAATGGAGTCAGGCAATGAGCTAGCATTTATGAAGCACCTACTATGTGCCAGGCACTATGCCAACCTCTGGAGGTACAAAGAAAGGCAAAAAAGTCACCAACAAAAATCAAGTAGTGTCTGCCTTCGAAGAACTTCCATTCTATAAGTGGAACCAGCTTATGCACAGATTATATTTTGCATACCCATGATTTTGTCTCTGTGTCTGCCAATGAAGATCAACATTTTCAGTCACTTAAAATTCTGGATAGTTATTTAGAGTGCTGACAGGTTAACGGCCTTGCCTATGGTCACACAGCGGGCACTGGAACATGGGTACCCCTGACTCCAAAATGGTTCTTTTACCACTCTGCCATGTTGCATATAGGTGTCTGAATCTATATGGGTTCCTATGTATGATATGTCATTTCATCCTGAAAGCCCAGTTCTAGACTATGTTGCTGCTTCTTAGACCAAGAAGCTTCACATCTTCTTCTCCTTATGTTATTCTCATCTACATGATGAATCAGAACTGAAGGATGGAAATAAGGACAAGAGACATCCAATACGCCGTGAGCTGAGTTTATTATATAGAGAGTATAAAGGAGAGCATTAGTCCTTTGGGAGAATGATTGGTGTTAATATAACAAGCTTGGAGCTACCATCTCATGCTCAATAATGGAGACTGCTAAGTAGGCAGATGGAGAGAGTCATGAATTTGTAGACTTGTAGATCCATAGAAGGATTGAATCAGTCTTCCAGGCAAACCTAGAAGTAAATAGAAAATGTTGCCTTAATTAGATTTTATTCCATGATATTGTTTTGGGGGTAATCTATTCCTCTTCTTGTTGCTATGAGCTGTTACGTCTACTCAGGGACAACTTCCATGGAGGTTTTTATATTTGATTTTGTATTTGATTCTGGGCATAATAGAGAACTTCTAGAATTTATGGGGAGGGGGCAGGGAATAGAATAAGCACCATGGTCACAGCTAAACTTCAGGAATATTATCCCTTTGGTAAATCAATGGAGAATGGACTTAGCAAAACCTTCTGCAGGAAAAGAGGCATTCAGATTCTGACTATTCTAAGTCATTCAGCTATTGAGAGGCAAATCTGAAGTTCAACCAGGAGGATTTTTTTTTTAAGTGCAATATCTGGTATTCTTTCTACCACACCATCCACCTACTATGTTGTCGGTAAGTACAACTTACCTTTACCTGTGTTTATTGAGGTTCTCCTTGGGGTGCATTTTGAGGATTTCTTAATACGGGGGATTTCCAGGATTTGAACCATATCCAGGATTCCCAGGATATCCAGAATTTCCAGGATTTGGACCATATCCAGGATTCTCAGGATAACCAGCATCTTCAGAATATTCAGGGTACACATCACCCTGAAGATATTCTTCAACATATCCCTTCAAAAAGAAAGAGAAAATAGTAGACATAAGGTTGGGAAATTCTGGTTCATTTACAGTATTATTAATTTCTTAATACCCATAATAATATTGAAAAATTAGATACAATACAAATGTAACTGGATTTATACAACTGCTCATCCATGACAGGATTATTTGAATCATCTGACTCAACTATCTGAGTTCTAGAGTAGATCTGACTTATGCATATATTTTCACTCATTGATATACTTCCATAAAATCCCTCAATCAACTAAATGGAGAGCACTCACTAATTCATCATATATGATATATTTAACAAACTGGAGAAGCCTCATTTCCAAATATTGGTTATTCCTTTCATAATTCTCAATTAAAAAAAAAACTTAGACAGTTCTCTTCTCCGTATTTTCTCACAGATGAAAAAAGAAAAACCAAACCATATACTATCCCTGACTCCATTGGGAGACAGATGAAGAAGAAAAAGCAGAGACTTGCCCTGATTCCACAGGGAGAAGATAATCAAAGGCCATGGTCACTACTGTAACTCCTGGCTTCTCTGTTCTTATGCATGATATAGTGGAAAGAATTAAACATCTCTAGGATTAAAGAGCCTGGCTTCAAATCCTGCCTCTAATACCCATTGCCTGTGTGAACTTGAGTTATTTAATCTTGATGGGCCTCAGTTTCCTCAGCTGTAGAAAGAAGGGGTTAGATGAGATGAATTGTAATGGTCCTCCCACCTCTACATCTCTGATACTGTGAGAGAGACACTGTGGCCTCTGAAGGAAAGAGTTTAGAGACAAAGTTTATAGATGAATCTGCAGCAGGAGATTCCTAGACTGAGTGAGATGGGACCTTAGAAATCTGGTTCATCTTCACTGAAACTTAGAATAGGGAAAGTGAAGCAACCTCATCAGTGTTACAGAGGTAATAAGCAGAAGATTGAAACCTGGATGACTGGAAACGAATGATGACAGTGACTGGGGAGGGAAATGCTCACTGATGTAAACTGAAATCCTTATTTAAGATCAGTTTTAAAGCATCTAGTAAATTTATTCTCACCTTTGAAGGACGTTTGCACAAAAACCCATCTAAGTGACATGAAGAATTAATGAAAGAGTCGTTTTCAGGATAAAATTATTCTATTTTGTGGACAGAACTCTTCATGCTCCAATGAGTTATCCCTGGCATTCTGTAGCTATCTAATAGCTATGAGTGCTTTGAGAAAACACATTTAACTCAAAATCCTTATATATAGTCAGGAGACAATGAAAAGGAGGACTGAGCCGTTTTATAGAAGACGTGGTAAAAATCTTCTGTTGCTTAATGACATGGGCATCATCAAGCCTGTGTATTAACACAATTCTGTTTAGCCACAAAAACATGGCCAGAAATCAGTTTGGGGTCCAGAAGCTAGTAGATAGTAGAGTAACTAGATTAGGTAGCTGTAATTTGAGGAGACAATTCAACTCCTCACTTTCAAAACACAAACCAAACCAAATCAAGTCATTTCAGACAACATTTGTTAAGATCTTCCTTTGTTAGGGTCCTGGGCATGTAAATATGAGTCACTTAGGACTCCATGAATGAGCAGAGAACTCAAAAGCATCCCATAAGCCCAGAGAACACCTCTGATGTCTCTTGGGCTTAGAATGATTTAGTGAAATCCTATAGAATCATTGGCAAAGTGGTATACAATTTAGGGAAGCAAGGAAAAGAGATTGAATTTGGGCATCATTTCTTCCAGTAAACATTTCACTTGTGGGGCAGCTAGGTGGTGCAGTGGATAGAGCACCAGCCCTGGAGTCAGGAGGACCTGGGTGCAAATCTGTCCTCAGACATATAACAATTACTAGCTGTGTGACTCTGGGCAAGCCACTTAATTCCAACCACCTCACCAAAAACAACAACAACAACAACAAAAAAGAAACGACCAACAACCACATTTCACTTGCTTTAACATGGTTATTGTAATGCAGCAATTCTATCCCAATGAATGAATCCAGAAACTAAATGTTTACAGAGATTGTGTATGCACTGCTTGGAAAGCCTTAGTTTAATGAATGCCTCACACTTATCAAACGGCACAAGCATCTATTTCTGTTTCATTTAAACCATCATTTGTTCAGGAATGCTGAGTGATTAGATATTTTGGGGGGAAAAGATTAAAGATAAAGAGAAAGCAATATACTAATGACAATATGTTAGTATTATTTATACATTACATGCTAAACACACTAAATTATAATTTTACATTATGATGATGACACTGATTATATTTCTGTTCACGTAAAGAAAAATATTTCTAGGGATACACATTATTGAATATTAAATTACTTTGTATTTATTTGGAAATGTCTTACCTCTTCAGATGAGCCATCAGCTCTTTTCTTTGGAAAAGAAAAAGATCAACAGACTCAGTTACATGACATGTATTTGAAAAAAAAATACCCCACACCCAAGCAGTGAATTGAGTTAACTCTCTGAGTTATGGAAGGAGTTACCCCTACACTGAGGGAAGAGCAGAATTTTGTCTCAAATAGCTAGATAAACATTGATTATCTCCATTTTATTTTGGGGAAATGTAGATCCAGGCTCTTTAAGGGCAGGAAAAAGCTATGACTATAAAATGAAGAGTTGGTTAGCTGAGGCTACAGCCACAAGGAATTTTTCTGGATTCTTCAGAGACCAATATAAATAGTAAAAACAAAAGAAAACAAAACAAGAAATTAAAATGTACTAATCCTGAGACATGGGAATGCAAATATAAAGCCAAGTCTCCAGATGCTAAAAGACCGTTGTTGGAAAGAGGGCTCCCAACACCAGTCCGTTCTCCATTTCCCCGAGTACTTACAGCCTGGACAGCCAGGAAAGCCATTAGGAAAGTTACAAGGAAGAGCTTCATGTTTGTAGGCTCCTGTGGAATGGAGAGGAGAGAAGTCACTGATGTCTTTAGTCTCTTTTCTTTTTTATGTCATATTTGTCTTTCCAATGAAGAAGAAACTTAGGTAAATAAATTAACTTCCATTTCTTTGGTGCTGTTGAGTTTTAAAGTGTTTTCATTCCAAGAACTGATGAGCAAATATTATTGTTTTCTTTTTACAGATAAGAGAAATGAGTCTCAAGTGGCTTGTATCTATATAGCTAGAGATGGTCAGAGCCAGAATTTGGTTACAGGACACCAAATGAAGAACCTTATTGCACACAGCATGCAATTTCTGTCTCTCTCTTTCTCTCTCACCTTCTAATTACACCCCCCCTCCACACACACACATGTGTTTCCTGAGGTTTGAGAGACAACATATTTAAAAATTCAATTTCATTTTATTTTCAGTTCCAAATCCTCTCCCTCCCCCTCCTCCCCTCACTTTGGAAGGTAAGGAAACAAAGGCCATCACAAATATGTAGTCATATAAAATAAATTTCCTTAATAGCCGAGAGAGAGAGAAAATGGAAGGAAGGAAAGAAGGAAGGAAAGAAAGAAAGAAGGAAAGAAGGAAAGAAGAAAAGTAAGAAGGAAGAAAGGAAGGAAAGAAGGAAGTTAAAAAAGAAAGAAAGGAGGGAAAGAAAGGAGGAAATGAGAAAGGGAAGGAGATATCAAGGAGGTGAGGAAGAAGAAGGAAGAGACAGAAACATTTTAATTCTGTTTAATGACCCTCAGTTTTTACGTTGTCCATATCAATCATCCCTAATCACCTAAAATTGAAGAGAAGGAACTCAGGAAACACTAAGGTATCCAGATTGACTGGGTTGTTCCATTATGACTCAGGAATATTTTTCTGTCTCCCATGAATTCTGTGCTCAGAAACCTTAGGTAACAATAACAGCTCACGTATATAGGGGAAAGAAAAAGGATCTTAACTTCAAGATCTCCCTGAGATAGAGTCCTTCAGAGGAAGAAATTCCACCAATGCACCTTCTCTGCAACTCAGAGTCCTAGAAAGTTACCTGGGATCCTAAGAGGTGAAGTGATTTCCCAGGGTCACAGAGCCAGGGTGAGTGAGAGGGATCAGAATTTCTGGCTCTGAGACCAGCTCTTCATTCATCCTTCCTTGTTTCTGCACTTCACGTGTATCTAGTGCTATGAAGTTATCAAGGTCCTTTATATGAATTATCTCCTTTCATCCTTACATTTCAACCTTAGAAGGTAAATGCTACAATGTATTTTACAGATGAGGAAACTGAGTTCCAGAGAAACAAATATTTCACTTATCTCTAGGTGAGGACTTCAGACTTGTAGTACCATTCCAACAGCTCACATTTACAAAGGAACTTACATTTTTAAAAATACTTCTGACATTCACTGAGACGGCTAGATGGCACAGTGGAGAGACAGTTGAACCTGCAGTCAAGAAAATCTGTGTTCCTTGAAATTCATTAGGTGTGTGATTCTAGGCAAATCAATTAACCTCTGCCTCCCTCAGTTTCCCCATCTGTGATATTAGGATAATAAATTGCACCTCCTTCCTAGGGCTGTTATCAGGATGAAATGAGATATTTCTAGAGAGTTTTGCAAATTTTAAAATGCAATAAAAATACTGGCTATTAAGCATTATTTGATATTCACAACAGGGAATAAGGACAAATATTATTACCCAGGATTTAGGGATATGGGAATTGCAACATAGGGAAGACCTCCTGACAGGAAATGGCTGAATCTGGACTCAAATAGGGCTTTTCTGACCCTGTCAGTCAATAAAGCAACCAAGTATTTCTCAAGCACTCACTAAGGGCAAGGCATAGTGCTGGTGGTAAGCGCGACAAAGACATGAACTGAAGAGTCTTTGCCCTCAAGGAGTTTACATTCTATCAATAGCATATTCACACATGTTCCAAGTGACATAAAAACTACATTCAAACTATAAATTATAGATTAACTTTAGACGAACTATATAAAAAAAGAAATAAAAGGCATTTTCTTTGTGGGGGAGGCAATAGGACTTGGGGGATGAGGAGAAGCCCCAGGTGGGAGATGTGACTGATGATGAGCTTTGAAGAAGAAAAGTGAGAGATTCTAAGCAGAAGAGATGAAGAGGAAATATATTCCAGTCTTGGGGGCCAGCCTGTGCAAAGCCATGGAGAAGAGAGATGGAGGGAGGATCTTGTGTAAAAAAACAGCAAAAAGAAGGCCAGTTTGGCTGGACTGTATTTCTACATGACAGTAAGTAGCGTATAAAAGGCCTAGACATTAAGGACTGAGCTAGTTTTGAAACAGAGGGGTCATATCTTGTCCTAGAGCCCTGGAATTTAAGGACCAGAAGAGTGACCTGGGCAGAGCTGTGCCTGAGGAATATCCTATTGTCAGCTGTAGTGAGGATGGATTGGAGAAAGGACTCAAGGCTGGGAAACCAATGAGAATGCTATTGTAGTTATTCAGGTGACAGGTGATGAAGGCCTGACCTCCTCTAAAAGGGCGTGAATGTGAGAGATGTGGCAGACCCAGAGTCATCCACATCTGGTAAGTAATTAGACATTTGGGGAGAGGGAGGAGTTATGGGTGAGGATGAATTCTTACATTGGGGTAACTAGGTAGATGGGGCTCGATTGGGATAACATTTATAAAGAGCACAGCACAGATACTGATTCACAGCAGGTACATAATAAATTCTCATTTCTTTCCCTCCCCCTGACCTTCTCCCCAACTCTAACAGAAATAGGTAAGTTCAGAATAGGTGCGGGGTTGGGATGGGGAGGGAAGGTAATGACTTCTATTTTAGTCCTGGAGAGTCTGAGTTGACCATAGAGCAGCCACTTCCAAATGTCCAATAGCTCATTACATGGTGATGTGTAACTGGAGCTCAGGAGAAAGAACAAGCTCTCGTGGCTAGAAATGGCAAAGAGGAAGCTTTAGGTTTAATGGAAAGAAAACTATCCTAACAATTAGAGCTATCCAAAAGAAGAATGGTCTGCCATGGTAGGTAGTGAGCCCCATTCCCCTTTGTCACTACCACCACTAGATATCATTCAAAGCCTGGATGACTATTTGTAGAGTATATTGTTGAGAATATTCTGTTCCATTATAAATCACTCTAGACACTCCAATGTGGTTCCTTCCTACTCTGCTGTTGATTTGTTTTGATCATGTCTGACTCTTAGTGACCCCATTTGGGATTTTTTGTGGCATTATTGGAGCATTTAGCTCCATTTCCTTCTCCAACTCATTTTAAAGATGAGGAACTGAGTCAAACAAGGTTAAATGACTTGCCCAGGGTCACAGAGCTAGCAAGTGTCTCAGGCCAGATTTAAAGCCATGTAGATGAGTCTTCTTGATTCCAAGCCCAGTGCTCTACCAACTGGGATAATAGAATTTCATGACATTATAGCTGATTTCTTTCCTTTACATCATATTGTCACTCAATCTTTGTAGTTACTTACTCCTATCAAACACACGGCACCAAATAATCAAAAAAAACTGTGAGTTAATTGAATTTTTAAAAAATATCAGTTGGGGACAGTAACACTCTACAATTTGATAAGGATATTTAATTTGCTGCTTGCTAAATGTAGTAATATTTGATATGCTTGAGGAGAAGACTTGAGAGACAGTCAAAGAAAAGAGTCCAAGCAAACAAAAACAAAGGTATGTTTGCTGGGAAAAGAAGAGTAGCAAAGGAGAAAGCAGAGGCAGAACAAATCAGAGGAAGGAAAGCTAGAAGAGAGGAGCATCTGGGCAGCAGAGGAGGGGAGTAAGTTAAGCAGGTGACCCTCCTTCAATGGGACAACAAGCCTTTTTCAGGAGAAGACTTCCAAAATTCCTGCATTGGGAAAGAAGAGAGAGGACCATAAAGGGGTGTGGTGACATGACATTAAAAGAGAAAACCAAGAGCTGAGTTGATCTTCAGAATGAGGAGAGTAGCAAAGACTCAAGTGGACAAAGTATGCCAGATTGTCCAGTTACTCCAATTTTTTTTTTACCAGTTATATTTTTAGGGGATTTGTACTCAGTTATTTTCATGACCTTAATGGGCCTCTTAGTACCTTAAAATTTATAGAATCCATGTTTCCCCCTGTAAAAAAAAATGGGCCATCTCAAGTTCTCCAATATCTTACCAAGCATGAGACTTCAGGCAAGTTCCTTAAGCTGCCCGAGCCTCAGTTTCCTCATCTGGAAAATGACTTGCTTAGTCTAGATGGCTTCTGAGGTTTTTTTTCCAGTTCTAGATCTATAATTCTATCACATCTCCCTTTCCCCAAACCCAATATTTATATGTTCAATATTAAAATAGTACCTATTTCTCTATAAACCATTATAATCTTACACATGTTTCATTTTATTCCTCACATGCATGTTTCATAGATAAGATGCCCATACCATGATAGGTTAGAATAAAAAATTATTTAATATACAGAAAATATTACCTAAGACAGAAGACTGGAAGAATAGATCCTTTTTCAAGAAAGAATGGGCTTCAGGGTATCTCAGAGCTATTTAAACTCTGCCATTAATGATATGATAATTTTATGGTTGTAAATAATGTCAATAGTGGCCTTGAATTGTCATCACTGTGAACGAATATTGATTCTGTGCCCATTTTCAGTACCCACTCATGCCAAGAAGTCATTTAACAAAGCAAATTTCACAACAGACTGTAGAATTGAAGCCTCCAAGTTGAAAACTAAAATACCAAATGCTTAATCCTTGTGTCAGTCTGAAAGACAGATGTGTAAAGGATGTGATGACTCATAATTGGGATGTAAGTTCTTTAAATGCAGTTTATAAGTGTCTGAGGCAGAATTTGAACCCAGATCTTCCAACTCCAACTGTAGCACTCTATCTGCTATGGCATGCTACCTACAGATGTGTTGTAGAAGGTAGACTTCTTCAGATTTGACTTAGTCCAGGTGCCCCTTTGGATCTCCACCAATCTGTGATTCTGTGATTCATTAATCATAACACTTATTAAATATCTGCAATGTACCGGCCAGAGTGAGGCTGACAACTTTGGGCAGCTCTGCCCCTCTTATATCCAGTTCACACACAAGTGTGAACCCTCATAATGTCATTGGTCCTCTTCAAGAGTGAAAGACCACCACCACCACCAACAACAAGCAATGTGCAAAGCTGAAAGGAAGTACAGCCTAAGATTGGGGTTCAGAGTCTGCTTCTAGCCCATCCTGGCTGAGTACATGGAGGGAAGTCACTTAACCTCTTAGCACACTAGAAAACTCCCAATTACTATACCATTCAATCAAGACTGGGATCCACATCAGTGTAGGGAATTTCCACAGAAGAAGTCCCTCATGTCCATAGTGCACTAGAAAGTAAGAAAATTTTTTTAAAAGAATTTTAAGTGACTATAGGCCAGCAACATAAAACAAAATTATCTCTGCTCTCAATTAACTTACAGTCACTGGTTGGAAGAGGGAGGAGTGTACAACACACAAAAGTGGATAAACCTAACGAAAAATCTGAAGAGGGAGAGAATACTAATAATTGGAGGGATCAGAAGAAAAGATTCATCAGTAATAGAACATCTGACCTGAGCCTTCAAGAAAGGTAAAGCTCCCTTAATGTGGAGGCAAAAAGGATCTATTTATTACTGCATTAAAGGCAAGCAGGACAGAGTATGCAAATGTGTGGAGGGGATATGTACTGTTGAGTTTGGGACATGCTACAGGCTATTCAGTCCAGTTTGGTTGGAACATGGTGTGCTTGAAAAGAGTAATGCAAGAGAAAAAAAGGCAGGAAAAATTACTGTGGAATAACATGGTGAAAGACAATGGAATTTGCATTTTAGCCTGCCTCTTTTGCTGCATTATTATCTTCACATGCGACAAGACCCCAATTCTGGGTCTTGTCATCCCTTTCTCTTCTCTCTACAACCTCTCTCAGTTTCAATTATCACGTCTTTGTAGGTGACTTCCAGATCTCTACACTCAATCTTCACCTCTCTCGAAAATTCAAGCTATATGTTATTGATGCCTTCTTGGAATCCTCAATGGATGTGCCGGAGGTGGATAGAATCTGAAGCATTCAAAACTGTACTTATCATTTTCTACCTTCAGCCCGTCCCTCGTCCAAACTTTCCTATTTTCACTGGTGGCACCACCATCTGCCTAGTCACCTATATTCATACCCTTGGAGTAACTCTTTCCTCTGCCCTCTTCCTCACCCCCATATCTAACCAATCATGAAACGTTGTGGTATCAACTTTCACAGCATCTCTGGTATCCATTCCTCTTTTCAATTCACTTAGCCAACACTTTAGCTCAATCTTGCATCACCTTCACCGAAATTATTGTAATAGCTTCCTAAGCTCTTTCTTTGTTTTTATTTTCTCTTTAGCATAGTCATCACATAACTTCCAAAAATGACCTTCATAAGTTTTTTTTTTCCCTGAAAGCAACAATGTCACCTCCTGTTGGAAAAACTTAACTCACTCCTTCTTGCTTCCTGATTAAAATACAAATTCCATTGTCTCCCACAATCTTACAATTTTTCCTGCCTTTATTCTTTTTGTGTTACTCCCTTCCAAACAGGCCCAAACTGGACTTAATACCATTTCCCAAGCTCAACATACCATCTCCCACCTCCATATATTTGCACACCTTGTCCTGTTTGCCTTTAATGCAATGATAGATGCCCATTTCCTTCAATTCAAAGGATCTTTATCTTTCTTGAAGGTTCAGATTAGACATAATTCTGCTGATGAAGTTTTTTCTGATTCCTTAAATGAAATAAATAGGGAAAAAAACCTGGAAAAGGAAGGAATTTAGGGATATAATTGCAGGCCCCATCTACACATATAATTCCCCAAACATAATCAAATAATTTGTGAGAGAAATTATTTCAAGTAAAAATCTTGGGTAATTGAAATAAATATTTTTTAAAAATATTTTTGATGTATTTAGCATTTCATATCCTGGCTACAGACAAATCAACTTTTTCAAATTTGATTTTGGTGATTTTTTACCAAAACAATAAATGAAATGGAGTCTTGATTGATTATCTGAATAAATCAATTTTTAAAAGGCGAGTTAGTGTTTCCTGTTGGAGGAAATGAGAATGCACATGAGGAGTCAACTAATAATCAATAATCCCTGATAAAGGAAATACAAAGCATTTTCCTTGTGAAGTTCACTAGGATTCCACTTTGCATTAAAAGCTCAAAAACCTTCTTCCATGAATTACAAATTTCATGTATAAAAGACTCCTGAATTATGAAAGTGACATCTTCATTGAGAATTACTTGGGTAAGAAAATTCTCGGGTCAAAAAGAAACAATTTATAGACTTGTAACCAGTCATTCAACACAGGACAATTATTGTATTTTTATATCTCCTTAGAATGCTTCTCTAATTCTGAGTCTGACTTAAGTTCACCAAGATAGGAACTTTGTGGAAAATGTGTGATGATAAGAACCAGGAACAACAAATATTAGAAACAAAAAGAATACTGTAAAAGACATCTTGTTATCTCACATCAAACACCGTACGAATAGGAGGCGATCGGAAAAACTGGTGGACTTGAAAATGCCGTAATATTTATAATGAATTAAAAAGTTCTTCTTCCCTATTGAAAAATGCCATGCTGTTTCAAAATGCCAACCCTCTGCTATCTTAAGGATGTTCTTTCATTTGCTTATGAAAAACTCCACAAAGAATCTTCAGCTCTCAATAGGTGACCCATCGGCTTCCTATGGAATCGACACCTGACTAGAATCTGGATGTTTCCAAATCCTTTTCCTGTTGATTTTCATCCCCAGTGAAGATCAGGATGATCTTCATCACCCAAAATCTATATCCATGAGAAGTGACTGATACCAGCAAAGAGAGAATTCTTAGTTAATCAGATAAGAGTCTATGGCGACTCTTATTTTCCTGTAAGCGCTGGCTCAATTTCCTGAGGTTCTGGATCACAGGGAGTTTAGGTACTGATGCTTGATCTTCAATAGTTTCATAGAGAGAGTTCACTGACAGTCTGAAGAGAATAAGTCTTTTAACCAGAAATATGAGGAGAACTGAAATTGCTAGCGGATAATCCGAGGGGAGCTCAGTTTGTTTGGGGATTTGAGTGACCTTGAGGAAGGGGCTTGTTCCTAAATTTTAAGGCACCATATGAGGAGGCAGAGAGGCAAGATAGAAGCAGATAAACAAGGAGAAGGCAGTTCTGTGATAGAGGAGCTGACTGAGGTGAGACAGGCAGAACCAGAAGGGGGCGACAGAGAGAGCAAGTCCAGCAAGAAGCTCCTTTCTCCCCTGGTTTTGCAGAGCCCAGAGGTGACTGACTTCTGGTTCAATGGCAGCATTTTGCATTTTATTTAATTGTTTATTCTCTTTTCTTTCTTCTTGGTACTGTTGATAAATTGCTTTGTCACTAGCAGTGAAGTGACTAATTGTATCAGATTGTTGTTTGATGAAAAGGAATCTAGTACATAGTAGAAATTTTATTCCAGAGTAGGGACTGAGCCAATTGGAGGGAATTTTCTCAGTTTTTGAAAAAAATCCAGAGCACCCCCACTAGGTTGCTGTTAAACCAGGTAGGAGAGAATTAATGAGGAAAGAAGCCTCTATCAGAATGAAGAGTAGGGAGTTGTGGTTTTCTCTGGGTGTATCTTTGACAACTTGTATCACACATCTACAGGAAAGCTGTAGGTGGTGTGGTGGATAGACTACTGGGTCTGTAGTCAAGGAGTCTCATCTTGATGATTTAAATCTGTCCTCAGACAGTTAACTTGCTGTGTGACACTGGGCAAGTCACTTAACCCTGTTTGGCTCAATTCCTCATCTGTCAAATGACCTGGAGAAGTACAGAGTGAAGCATCATTTTTTCACTTTATCTTATTTTTTTGTTTGTTTGTTTTTCTCCCAGGATGGCTAATATGGAAATATGTTTTGAATGACTTTGCATTTATAACTTTACCTTCTCAATTTGTGAGGGAGGGGTCATAGGAGGGAAAGAATTTGGAATTGAAAAAAAATTTAAATGTCAAAATTAAATTAAATTTAAAAATTCCAAAAAAGAGAACTCTGGTCATCATAATGACCACTCATGATTCCAAAGAGCTAATGGTCGGGCATTCTGCCCAGTTCTTGATGAGGGGAGGGACTCAAGGTGCATGAGGAAACATTTTTACATGACCACAATAGAGATTTATTTTGCTTTATTTTTTCTATTTATAACAGGAGTTTTAGGTTTTAATATTTTTTCATCATTTGGAGGAGGTAGGGGGTGGGATGAAGAGAAGATGGACTTTTGCTGACTGAAAGAAAAATAAAATTTAATTTAAAACCATTATTGACTTTTCTGGGAGGCAATCAGGGTTAAATGACCTATCCAGGGTCACTTGATTTTCTTTCCTGGGGAAATTGCAGAAAGACATGGTTGGAGAACATTTGGAAAGAGCCAGCATGGCTTCATAATCAGGTCCTGCCACACTAACCTTCTTTCCCTTTTGGAGAGGATTGCTAAATTAGTAGATGAG